AAAACTCTTCTGATCACTGCCTTTTTTTTTGTTTTCTGCTTTACCCTTCTTCTATCAGAGGTAAAATTCCGGCTGCAATCAGTACACAACCATCAGATCGGCTAATGGAAAAGCATGTTACCAACAATAACAAGGAGGTCTCCTCATGAGGAGATGATTTCTTGATGGTGAGAGAATTGGGTTCCAACTCATTTTGTTTCTTTTTTCTTCATGGATTTTGAGAAATATTTTTTCAAAATGTTTTGTCTATATTTATCCGCATACATCAAAATCTGGTTTTTGTGTGTGTGTATGTGTGTGTGCTTGTGCTATATAACTAACATAGGAACTTTTTGGTACTATCAATAGATTTTCGTGAGCACCTATTTAGGAACTGTTTTTTGGATTAGTTCCCGTTTCCACTGTGCTGGTGCTTCATGTGCGTTCTTATTACTATTAAGACTTATTAACATTATATTGTGGATTAAATACTCTTAAATACTCTACTTCAACTTTTGTGGATTATTTTCTTTGATATCTATGTGTGACATGTTCCTTACAAATTTCATGTATGTTTGGATATTACTAGCAGTGATGCCCATGAAAAAATAGATACAAAAGAATAATTACCGCTGGAAAAATACAGGTTGAAACTGTGAGATCGGCTATTCTATATTATTTGAGGTATGGAATTCCTTTAATCTCACTTTTTTTGAAGATTATGACTCATGATATATGATGATGTATAATATAAAGTGAGATGTTCTTTATATTACTTTGTTATGTCAGTGCCCAATCATAGTATTATATGAAGAACTTAAAAATTGGATTATTCTAGCTAATACAATTCGTTTAAATTGATATGTGGAGTGAAAACATAAGTGTTTTTTGAGTTGCAACCATAGAGTGATAGAAATATTCAGATATTTGAGTTATATAAAATGTTTTTCCTACGTTCTTTTTTCATACAACTGAAAAATAAGTACCAATTCATTGGACGAGACCATCGTGGACAAACTATCGTGATACGTAGACCCTGCACCAATTGGTGGAGGTTTGTATGTTAGTATGTGCATGCTGTATAATATCCCTCTTATGAATATTATTTGCTTTGACTGGAATTTTGATGTATTGGTTATTGCTAAAGAAAAAATAAATGATTAAAATTATTAAAATAAATTGCAATGCTTACAGCGCCAAAGCAGAACCCAACTTAACCTTACCTCTCTTCCACATTTCTTTTTTCTTTTTTTGAATCCTCTCTTTCCCATTTCACTTCGGCCGTTTCAATTTTCAGATCTGGCCATGAGAGTCCTAGGTTTCCTCTCCAAAAACCATGCTACAAAATCAGTTTGGTTCACATTAAGGAGTAGTTTCACGCACACTCGGGTCAGAGCCCTATCAACGGACATCACAAGCACAAAATCCAAATTGCTCTCATCTCAAGGTCGAAATCCCACTGGGATCCCAAATCCCACTGAGTGCCCACCTCCCACTAAGATTCCAAATCCCCTTGAGTGTTCCAGAGAAGAGATGAAGGTAGATTTCTTTCTAAAAAAATCGTTTGTTTAACCTTCATCTCTTCTCTGGAACACTCAAGGGGATTTGGAATCTTAGTGGGAGGTGGGCACTCAGTGGGATTTGGGATTTCGGCCTTGAGATGAGAGCAATTCAGATTTTGTGCTTTGTGATGTCCGTTGATAGGGCTCTGATTCGATTGTGCGTGAAAGACTCCTCAATGTGAACCAAATCGATTTTGTAGCATGTTTTTTGGAGAGTAAACCTAGGAAGCCCATGTTTGAAAATTCAAAAGGCCGAAGTGAAATGTGGAAGAGAGGATTCGAAAAAAGGAAACAAAAAATTTGGAAGAGAGGTAGGGTTAAGTTGGGCTCTGCTTTGATGCTGTAAGCATTGTAATTTATTTTAATAATTATTTATTTTTCTTTAGTAATTACCAATAAATCAAAATTACAGTCAAAGCAAATAATATAATATTCATAGGAGGGATATTATCCAGTGCATTGCATGCACATACAAACCTCCACAACTGGTGGCAGGGTCTAGGTATCACGGTTTTCGGCATGGCCTACATGTTTGTCCACGAGTCTCGTCCACAGGAGATTCCAAGTGGGCCCCATCGCGAATGTGCCATACAAAACGCCTCCCTGTAGCTCTGTAAGTAGTAGGTAGGTAGCTCTCTGGCCTTCCCGGTATGTAATCGTTAGAAATTTTGTTGCATAGCTAAGAGTTTATGTTTTACAAAAAGTTTTATGGAAAAAATCTCATTTCCTCTGAAAGAGGATTTAAACTAACCCCTGACCCACTTTGGAGTATATTCATGATTCCCTCCGTTAATAATGACGGGATCCAAGTGTATCCAAAATCAAGTCGTAAACTCACTCTATCGCACACCTTGGCTAGGTAAAGTTTGATCGCCATCCAACCTTTTTTTTTCCTTTTATGCTCCCACATTCTATGTGGTAAGGTATAAACACCGGATAGTCTTTGAGCTCTCCCCTAATTTAAATTTTTACAAAAAGTTATATATCCTTTATAGATATAAAAGAGATCTGGCCTGCAGAGAATTTATGTTGTACAAAAAAATATATATCTAGATTATACATGTAGAAATTTTATTGTATATGCAATATATTTTTGCATTTACATTTATTCTCCGAATTTATGTTGTACAAAAAAATATATATCTAGATTATACATGTAGAAATTTTATTGTATATACAATATATTTTTGCATTTAAATTTATTGGTGAATGATGTTGCTATTTAAAATAAATTTATTGTTAAAAGGATGTAGTTGCAATTGTATTTGTAATTTTGTGTTAAACTTTGTTCTTTGTAGATAGTATATATTGAGCACATTTCAACAAGAAATTAGATTGAATAATGTAGATCAGTGTTTTCCATAATGCTAATTCGATTTTTAATATTTTCTTTGGAAAAAATTGATTACAAATCTGACAAAATCCCCAAACTTGCTTGTGGGATTCAATATTTTGATGGGGCAGCCAGAAAGAAAACGAAACGGAACAAGACCAGAGGGAAGTGGAAAGACACGGAAGAGACTTGTGTTTCTTCTAGATCATGTTCCGGTTTTTTCTGGCTGCCCCATCCAAATATTAAATCTCACAAGCAAGGGAGATCTTGTCCAGATTTGTAACCAATATTTTCTAAAGAAAATATTATAAATCGAATTAGGATATACTATCTACAAAGAACAAAATTTAACACAAATATACAAATACAACTGTAGCTGCATCATTCAACAATAATTTGTTAGTAAATAGCAATATCATTCAACAATAAATTTAAATGCAAAAATATATTGTATATGCAATAAAATTTCTACATGTATAATCCAGATACATATTATTTTGTAAATCATAAATTCTCTGCGGCCCCATGTCTTATAAAGGATATATATCCTTTTGTAAAAATATAAATTAGGGGAGAGCTCAAGGACTATATGGTGTTTATACCTTACCCCATAGAATATGTGGTATCCACTTTTATCGAGCTCGATGTCGATCTCGGCCGAGGTATTGTTTTGAACTCCGATATGGAATCGGATATGGGCTGAGTGGTACGTGGAACCCAGGCCGGCTAAAATGAGTGCATCCACGCCAGTATTGATTTGTAAGTTCCTTTTAGACCCATGTTAATATTATTTTTATGTTTTTTTATACCCATATAGTACTAGGCTAAGTTTCCATTTTGATATTATTTAGCCAAGTCCATTTTAAACATGAAAAACCAATAAAACCAACATGTGGACATAATTCTCTTTGAACTATGGTTTTGTCATCCTCATCCCTTTTGTTTGGCTTGGTTTTTTTATTCATATTCATCTTGTCTTCTTGATTTTAGTATTACTCTTAGTTGCCATAGTACTCATGGTTTTTGGTTTTTTTATTCGCATTCATCTTGTCTTCTTGATTTTATTATTACTCTTATTTGTCATAGTTTTTTAATATTGGAATGATTAATGTGCCTTATTAAATTTTAGTAAATAATATAGGTGTGTTTGCTAAGAGCACCTTTAGCAATAGGTTTATGGTGGGTTTTGAAAGTACAAACCTNCCCCCCCCCCCCTCCTTTTTTTAAGAAAAAAACTCTGCAGCATTTTCTTTGAATAAAAAACCCCTCAATCCTCATACCTTTCATGGAAACCAGAATCATCAGAGTTTCCCCAATTCAGCTCATCTTCATAAACATTATATTATATTACAGTCCAATTTCAGCAAAATTTGTACTGTATTCTGTATCTGATATGCATTCTGTATCTGCAAATGCATCTGTACTATACTGTATTCTGTATCTGTATCTGATATTGATTGTAATTTAATATAAGTTAATAACTATAACATTAACATATATATATATATATATATATTTAAATAAGGTCCCTCTCTCCAACAGGCCTAGAAAGTCCCTGCCCAACCCGCCATTTTTGCGGAGCGGGATTGGGCGGGGCGGGGCAGGGCGGCCCGCGGGCTGCGGGCCAAATTGACAGCTTTATTCATGTTTCATAGGTTGGAGCGTGCATTCCAAACAATAATATTTGAGTGGAGAGATGCGGACCCACAAATGAAGAAACATGTGGTATTTGTCTTTTTTTTTTCCCTTTTTCTTTTGCAATTAATAAGATAAATTGCTCCTTTATTATCTTTATAACAAACTGATTTGATTTGGAAAGTAATTCCAAAAATTTTTTTATGTTTATTTTTTCTTAATTACGTTTTTTCTTATGACTATTCATTAAAAAATGGTTTCCTAATTCTGATTTATTTGTTTTATAAGTCATTGACTAATTTACAGTAGTCCAAAACCCAGCAAATACATACCACAAAACCAATGCCAAAAACATAACACACACATGCCTATACTTCTTTCTTTCTTCTTCAACCACAATTATGGGCCATTAAAACAGAGTTGTACTTCTGAAAATAGCATACGGGGAAATGAAATGAAATTTACTTACATCGCGAAATGGGGGGAAGACGATGTCGCCTGATGATGCGCAACTCTTGATTTGTGACTTTTTGAAGTTGCTGACCACGGATTTTGCAGAACGAATGAAAAACGATTTGGAGAGATTGAATATCCCCATGTCGAAAGGGTTTTTTTTTTCGTGTTCCCCAAACAAGAGGAGCAGTCTGAGTTTAGACTATATGGGTATATTTAGGTTTCTGAGCATTGGGCCATGGACGAAAGTCAGTTTAAATATAGGGGCTTAATTATGTTAAAATAAAACTGACATTATGTGGAATGTTTGTGTCAAATCGTTTAACGAATTTTGAATCTATATTTTAATTACTAATTTCCATATTGTTGCTATATATATATATATATATATATACATAATTGTATTAAATTATGAAAAGTATACATCCATATTATATACACAACCAGCGCGATATCCTGTATGGATTGCCTACTTCATCTTGGCAAAACAGCTCTTTGATGCGACAGTAAAAAAGGATCCACGCGAGTGTACTTTTTTGGGTTTGAATGCCATTTACTTTTCTGAATACATACTTGTTTGCTTTATGATTTGAATTCTATAAGTTGCTGCAGTACTGGGGCTACATGTGAACAAATCGATCCAGCGCCATAACTTCCAAAGCATGTACTTCCAGAAAGTTGATCTTTACATATGCCGCAGGTTTGGCAGCAAAGGCAAGACGAAAAAGAGGGCCCTTTTCATAGAGGGCGTAATTGGCGTAGTGAAGGCCGAGGTGGAATGGAATGTCAAGAACGGGGCAACAATTCCTTTCAAAGTGGAGTTCAGAGAGAAGAACTGCGGGCCATGGTTTTGGTTATTGAAGTAGTGCTGAATGCAAAGAGACAAGTTTTGGTTTTTGTTTTTTAAAAAAAGTTGTTTTAAATGCGCCACTCTTGTTAATGCGCATTTTCAGTTTAGCAGCACTTTAAGTACTGGTTTCGTACAGAGGCTTTATCATATTTGGGGCATATTTTGAGAGCATCAATGTGCATTTTCAGTTTAGCAGCACTTTAAGTACTGCTTTATCATATTTGGGGCATATTTTGAGAGTATCAATGTTTTCAGTTCGTCTATAGTGTGTCACAAATAGATGGCTTTATTATCTTCTTGATCACAACAAGAAATACGATTCGCGTGTTTAAGACACGTAAACTTGTTCGAGCAGATACTGCAACACACAGCAAACAAATGCAAATCGTAAAAGCAAGAAAAGCATTCTCGTTCGGTGTTTAACACGCATTTTGAAGAACGTGGAATAAAATGAAACAAATAATTTGCACATTCTTTTCAATAATCGCTAAAACAAATTTGAAAATTTTTCTTTTAACAGGTCACTCTGGAGGAGCAACCAAATGAGACTTTTGTGTGCGGCTCAGCTGAGCAATGCTTGGAAATGGTTCTGTTGAGACTTAATCAAGATATAACGAAGCAAATATATTTGAGCAAGAAAGGATTACCAACTCTACAGCCCTCGACTAGCATCAACGAGCTGAGCATATCTTAGTCTTTCTTCGTACGATACAATACTGAAAGATAGGAAGTCTAATGCATTGGCCTAACCTTATACCAGGGATTGGAATCGGTTACCTATCCTCTCTTGGCAACGTCGACTCAACTTCGTCAACCCAACGAACGAAGCAAAGCGATAGGCCGAACTGTACTAAGATAGCAAACAAACGAGTATCGAGCAAAGCGAAGAGAATCAAAATGTTTGGTTTTCGTTCTCTGTCCATTGTTCAGGTACACCCTTAAAATTCGAGCATCTAGAAACATAATTACAACTTGGGACATATTATTTTCAATGTTAATTTGATCCTTTATACGAATGCTAATTTTTAGAGTATAATGTACTCAGGTAATTGAGGCACTCGATCCACATCACGAGTGCACGGAGTATTGGAAACACAAGCTCCCGAACAAGAAATCGATGTCAAGTTCAGAAAATAAATTAGGGGCCATTCCGAAGAGATTAAACGAACACAAGAATGAAAAGTTACAACGATTTTAGAAAGCCGAAAGATTTTTTTTTTTAAAGAACTTTTTTAGGTGTTGAAGCTTTGGTCTCTTAGACTTTGCTTTATACATTTGAGCGATTGGAAAATTTAGAGCAGATCTTTG